TAGCGTCTATTTAGACTATACTTATGAAGAAACGAAAATTATTACGTTTATGAAAAAGGTATATTCCCACAAGAAAAGCTTAAAGAACTAAACCAGCTATTGTACGCAATGAACAAAAGTATCGAGCTGCTATTATGTGCTTAGAAAGTTAGTGAAACTGCGCCATGTTGCATAAAGATAAAAAATTGTTTTTTATTAAAACCTTAATTAGAGGTCTTGGACGAGCTATGCGCTATCTAAGATACTCCAGAGTAAGAACAGATTTTAATGTTCATGCCGTAGCATATAAAAAGTACCTAGATCTGAAACATATTTCGTGATAAGAGTACATTGGCTCTAACGAAATACATCTGGTGATGTTCAAATATCATAAAACTGTGGCCTGCCCAAATGAGCCCCCCTAACACCGCAGGGAACTATATGCAAATGGGGGCACAATAAGCCGTTGAATCTAGTAATGTTGAAAATATGGGTTAAACTTAATTATTGCAGTATAATAATTGTCAAAGTAGAGGCAGATCTGCGTTCGGTGTGCGATTGCTCTTTCAATTATTCGGTAACCAGTGCCCATTGTGAAAGTGTTCGGAAGTCAAGAAGATACAGAATATCACAAAGAGAAGCTATGCTTGCGCAAACGGCTCAAGGCGATATCAGAAAAATACAGACGGGAGACGGGAAGTGAGTCAGGCTTGTATCATTCATGTGCTGTGTACTACAGTATTCATGAAATGACACTCCTACGAAGGTGGGTTCTTTGCTGCAGCGAAAAAATTCCTATACCGCTGAAGATCTCTTTAATACTTTGCCACAAACACTTTTTTTCAGCTGCAGCGAAAATAATATTCGTAAATTCAAATACAGTCATACTTGCAATAATAGCAATGTGCAAATCCACATATACGGGTAGTGGAACAATGGATTGATCTGTCGAAATGCTAGGTCTAAACCGAACGCACTGCATAAATGATCTCTTATTAAGCGTGAATTCCCTGGAGTAAGGAATTACCTCACAGCATCTCGGCGCAACCAGTCAAAAAAAAGGGTAGCAGGTCGTTGGTCTGCGAATAACAAGGATAGCAAAGTGGTTTTGGTGTGGTCATTTCAACATGTGCGAGATATGCAATCATACTGGTAAAAGCGTGAGCCTTCCGGCTGCAATTCGTTTTGACCCTCTCCTGATAGCTGACTAAAAATAAGCATAAGGTTTATATATGCACGTCCAGAATGACATACGTGATAATAGTGCAGAGTTGTCCAATTCAGGGTAAATGACACACCCATTTAGCATTACTTTAGCATTCAATTATCGAATTTGACTAGAGAAGTGTAGCATAACTATATTCGAGCATACACCGCTACTAAACAGCGATCACTAGTTTTCTCCGATATCGCCTCTTTAATCCATTTAATAACCTTGACATCAAATCTGAGCATCCCATATCATTACTCTTAAGCACGCATTCATTCCCACTCTCCAACCGTAGTTATCTAAGTAACGCCCCGGATTCAACGTCATCCGCTAAAATGGCATCACCAGAAGCAAAATCTTGTATGGCGAACAGTTTACAACAGACGACATACCTGAAAGCCTGTCTGTTAATAAGGTAATTTGCAACGACAGTCGAAAGATTTACAATCATATGACAAAAAGATACATGGCCGCTGTTGTGAATCACTCGAAACACTACCGCAGCTCTCTTGATAAGCGAATCTGTTTCCATTAAAAGCTTTTCGATGGTACAGCTTGCGTCACACACGAATTAAGCTTCCAAAATCTTTCACTTAATTGGAATCTCACAGTAAATAATTGAATTTATACCATTCCATCAACTTTTATCTATATATCTTTCCTTTTTCGTTTATCTACCAATTTTTCATTTTTTCTTGTCTCTCATTTTCTTTCATCTATTGATCTTTGTTGTGGATGACTATTATATACCCTGAATATTATTAATTTGTCTTGAGAAAGGAACTCCGTTAGGTGTTCTGAGAGTTTCACTTAGAAAATATATTTTTCAGGCGTCTAATCGTCTCTGTGCAATTTATTGAAAGGAACCAATAAATATAATTACAGAATAACAGGAAGAACATATAAATATTAATATATAGATCAATCTGAAACCATTTCCGTATTCCAGTGAAAAGTTGAACGTCAACGGAGTCACTTCAAGAAGAAGAACAAGAAGCAACGGGGATCATAAAGACGAATGATCGATTTGTGTACCGATCTTGCGAGCATAACACTGTTTCGTCACAGCAGCTTGAGTATGGAGTGCGCACCAACTCATCTAACTGTAGGCACGTTAAGGACGAATCTATGACGACCATCTAAGAGGAAAATTATTAAACACAAGAGTGATAAGAAAGTACAATTTTTTCTCTATAAACATGTCCATTTTTAATTTTTTGTCAGCTATTAAAAATATTATGAGGTAGACGAAACGTCGAAACATTAGAATCAGTAAGACGATGAAACTATGATGAATCTTTCCGATTCGCTCTGATTACGAAAGAGTTAAACAGTAACGCGAAATTATCTGCCTTGAAATATGCCCACATATCTGATCTCCCACAAGATAACCAATGTTGGATAATGACTGAGAGAGTGAGATCCAGAAAAGAAAACAAGTGACAGATACGAAATTTCGTCGAAGAACTGTGACAAAACGAAGATCGATCAGTCTCACATTCAGACACAATCTGTTGTGAGCTGCTCCTTCTCCAAATCAAGAAATCACCTAGTAACGGTGGCGAAAGTGATGAGAATGACATAGGCGAGACTCACGTGATTCTACTTGCAACAGCAGCAATACATATAAAATTTTAAGGTGATTATGAGATTGAAAAACAGCTATCAACTTGGAGATGGTTAACTGCAGCACTATGAGGCACTTGCATCGACATCGAACAGCATAACCGTACCAATCTCGCACTCTGATATGACAACAGAATTCCATACTGCCTTGTTGTTGTCAAGTAGCGGCTTACGACCATTGTCTTGGCTGGTTGCAGCGAAAAAACGTTCGGAAAATTCCCTGTTTAGGGGAAACGGCAGTTAAAAAATTTGTTCATTTTCTGGATTCGAACCAAGCACCTCTGAAGTTCGAAGCCGGCAGCTTTATCACTGTGCCACCATGTCCTGAGGGGCCACATTACAAAACCAGCAGCGCCAGCGTAAGTGGGACGAGAGACATGATTCTTGAACCCGGAATATTTAACGTGTCAAGCGGCACGACAACCAACTGTACCACCACTCTCCCTCCCTACATCAGTGCCTTGCATTTTGTGGGTGGCCCTGTAAATCCAATTTGCGAGAGATCATCTACCTTCTGTTTTTCTCAACGGCACGAATGAATCCCACCAATAGCAGGAAGAATATTGCAGGACTATTGGAGAAACTACGATCATATTACATTTTTGGCTGATGGAATGGTGAAGGAGATCAGCTTTATGCCATAAATTCCATGAGGGAAGAAGCATCCAAAATTCCAAAATTCACCAACTTATAAAGTATAAATGAGTCCGCCATCCTAACGGTTATAAACAATTTTTGTTTCCTTTAAAAGCATAGGCCAGAAGAACACTATAATGAGGTCATCCGTTCGAAGTACTAGCCATCAAAAGGTACAAATCGAATTTGCCTAAAGCAAACCTTGGTTAATTCCAAATTCTCGAAAAATCTAATTTATCCGCATTGCATGCCTGGAAAATTGTACCGCAAAGTAAAAGTTATTTCATAATAGTTAATTAGTTAGTTAGTCAGTCAGTGCGATTCTTTGCTTACATTCATTTTATACCAAATATTGACGTTTCGGTCCGTCTTCAGAGTTACAATCAGTTTTGCACAGCGTCATTTTAACGCGAGTCAGGCTAACCCGTATGACTGATGGCGCAGCACTTCAACGTGAACTTCATGTTTTTGGACCATGTGTCGTTGACATCAATTATGAAGATGGCTTAAATAAAATGAACGTAAATAAACGAGTATAGGTTAAAGAAGGTCTCCAAGAACATCAGGGATATATTTTGACATTCGCTCGCCAAAGGATCGTGGCAATCTTGGATGAATATACATTTGTTCAACTCTACTTTGAGAGGCCTGCGTCCAGTGCACTGCAGGAACTTAAATACCATGGAGCCGTGACCTGCTTAAATGGTCCATCTAGGCTACTAAAAGCATAGGGGGTACAATAATGCTGTTGGTGAAAGGTAAGAAATAGATTTTTCTTTCCTTACAATACATTTTCGTCATTTCAATCCGGTATTACTATTTTAAATGTGATATCTTCGAAGGCGGTATCGATAGGCCCCCAAGAACATCGGAATTATATTTTGGATTAGTAGAGTATTACATTCTTAAAGTACAAGTATTATATTCTTATAATACTATATTCATAGTACAAGCTACCGAAAACATTTAAAACAACGCCAGACTACTTAAAACACGACAGCGCAGATAGAGTGCTTTTTAGGAACTATTGGCTGGAATGGCAGACCGGAAATGGTTCCTTAATGAATCTAGCCATTAGCAAAAATTTGAAAAGAATCAGCGAGTTACGCATTCTTAGAAGAGTCGCTGGCCTTACGCGTCTCGACATGGTCCGGAATAGTGACATTCGGAAGAGCCTTGGATTACAGCCTTTGCTTCTCCAGATTGAGAAGTCACAGCTGCGATGGCTTGGGCATGTGTTGCGAATGGCTCCAGAAAGGAAGGTAAACAACTTTTTCTTGTGAATCCGACCGGCAGAAGGACCACGGGACGGCCAAGATTAACCTGGTGCAAACATATGGAAGAAGTCTGTTCCAGACTCCATTGTCTTTTGCCGAAGCTCAGACTCTGGCACAGGATCGGGAACGTTGTTCGCTCTGTCTGACGTGTCTGCCTCCGCGAACCGAAAGGAGAAACGACGATGGAAGATGAAGATGAAGATAAGCGAGTTACGTCAGGACCAGAAAAATAATTGTCGATCTGTTAGCAAATTCTGGGCGCGACTACGCTGACACCCGATTTTACAGAAAATCACATCGTCAGTCCGTGAAAAGAAGGGAAGGTCAAGAAGAATGGCAACCTTCCACACGGTGGAGACCGGCCATCGAACTTAGACCTGTACATATAGATGCTGCCGGTATATGGAAAAAGAATGTAACTGATCCCAGGGTCAAGTTAAGGTAAACGAAGCAAGATGGAAACCTCAAGGTGATTGGGGTAGCTGAGGAGGTAGAGCATCAGA